GCCGCTTCCTGCTCTCAGAGGGGAAGAGGGTGAGTGAAGTGTGGGCAGGGGTGGGGGGGGCACGGTGCTGCCCATGTCCTGGGCACGGTGCTCAGTCTGGCCCCTGGAGTCTCCCGCCTCTGTGGGTCCCACGCTGGTGCCCGAGCACTTCAGGGTGAGACAGGGTCTGAGGTCCCTCCCCGCCCCCTCGTCTCCTCCTAGGACAGCGGCTCCCGCCCCGGCTCCAGGGCCGGTGACAGACGGTGTGGTGTGTAGGTGAAGGCTGCAGGGGAGGCGTGTGGGAAGCAGGAAGAGGAAACAGCCGTGGCCAGAGGTCTTCTGGGCCAGCCATCAGCCCTTGCTCCTCAGTCCTGCTGGGGCCACGCAGGCCCCGTCCTGCCTGTGGTTGTGCTCACTGTGACCTCTCGTCTCTCGGGCCGCAGCAGGGGGGTCACGGCTCAGAAGATGCTCTGCCTCCGGCTCTTCCCTCGTCCTGGACAACAGAGGGGAGAGGTGGGGCTGCAGAGAGGGGCCTGGGCAGAAGGGAGACCGAGATCGGGAGGGACGGCCGTGCTCCGGTGCCACTCTGACAGAGCCAGCAAAAGTATGGTCTCAGAAGCCAGCAGGTCCTGGGTTCAAATCCCATCTCTGTTACTTACTAGCCGCATGAAACTGTGACTTCACCTCCCCTATGCCTCAGATTCGGTGATTATGGGATTATTCAGCATTAATAGTACCTACTTCAGGGCACCTGGCTGGCTCAGTTGGGAGAGCCTGTGATGCTTGATCTTGGGGTCGTGAGTTTGAGCCCCACGCTGGGTGTAGAGATTACTTAAGAAAATATATATACACACACACAAGCACCAGCTATAAGGGGTGTTTTAGGATGGACTGGAATAACACACCTGTCACCCCCTCAGCTGTCCCAGAGACACGGTATGGAGGTGACAGTATTCAGAGTGTGAATGCACCAGAGAGAGCACGCACCTTCATCAGGGCTTTGTCAGTGCTGTGTCTGGGGTGGGAGTTGACAAGGGACACCCTGGAGGAGGAAGCCTGGGCAGGAGATAGGGAAGCCAGCCCCTTCCCCGCTCCCCACGGGCTCCCCGAAGGAAGGCCCATGTTGCGGAGGCCATGCTGATTTCTCCGCTGCAGGAGGGGCTGGTGGGCCCCATCTCTGTTCTTCCGGAGGGAAGAGCAGCCTGCCTGGTCTACTCCAATAAGGGGAGTGGTGGGGGAGCCCCTACCTGGCTGCTGAAAGGCCAGGCCCCGGTAGCCCGGGTCCTTCTGGAGCTGAATCTCCTTCAGGGAGAAGATGGAGGCAGCTGTGACGAGGGAGGGAAAAGGCAGGGAGAGAGCTGGGTAGGGGCGACCTGCTCCTGGAGCCCGTGGCCCCCCACACCTCCTGGCTGGGGAACCCCTTCATTCAGGACTGGGCCTTTCAGGCGGTGTCTTAGATCCCACAGTTTCTCCCCTTAGTGTCGGACGAGAACCCAAGGAAGAGAAGCCCCGGGCCCAAGGTTGCTCGGCTAGACTGGGACCTGTGGCCTCTTTGCTCCAGCTCTTCCGCCCACACCTGCTGCCCCTTCTTTGGTTCCGGGGCGACCCTGGTCCCCCTCCCCCAGCCTCCCCCAGACACTCACTATCTTCGAGCTGGTGTACACGCTCCCCCAGAGACCGGAAGTAGGGGTGGCTCAGGGCAGCCTCTGCTGACATGCGACTCTTGGATTCATACTGAAAGGCAGAGGGTAGGCTATTGGGCCCTGGCTGGGGACTCTGGGCACCCCTCTGGGTAATGCAACTACTGCACTAAATTAGGTGGTCAGGATGCGAGGGGCCACAGTATAACCCAGGAGCCCCCGGGGTCAGCCGCCAGCCTCCAACTCCAAGCCAGTCCTAGGTCTCCACTCTTAGGGTCTCCAACTACCAAGAGAAAGACAGAAACGGGACTTCCAGAGAGTGACCTCCACTTGGGATGGAAACACAGACGCTAAAGCAACCATGACCACAACATCAATAATAGAAATATTAACATGTGATACCACCAACTACCCTTCACTGCGTATTTACTTCACGACAGGTCCCATACTGTGTTCCATGATCTCAATTTGTCCTCGTGACCATCTTCAAAACTACGAATTATTAATTCCTCTTTGCAGTTGAGGAAAAGGAAGCCCAGAAAAGTTCTAGAACTTGCCCACGGCTACACTGCTAGTAGGTGGGTCTGAACTGAGGTTCGAGTTCAGAGCACACCCACTCCCAAGTCCCTCTTGGGCCTGGGTTGGGGCCACAGGGTGGAAGATGGGGGAGACGCCTGAGCTCTGGCGGAGGGCCCACATGGGGCACGGGGGTTCGGCGCTATTTGGCTGCCTGGGCCCGGCCAGGCGCGCACTCACCAGGAGGAGGCTGGTCAGGAGGTGGATGCCTTCGGTGTCCAACCTGCACGAGAACGGAGCGGGCACAAGCCTGATCTGGGTGGGGTGTGTGTGTGTGTGTGTGTGTGGCCACCTCCAGAAGGGACAGCCGGGACCACGAGCAGGCCAGGAGGTGTGGGGAGGCACGGCTACCTGGGAGCGTGACTGATGAGCGGCTGGGGGAGGTATCGTGGGAAGTTGTAGGCTCTGAACTCTGACAGGGCCAGCACACCGGGCCACGTCTCTTCCGTAGGGGTCCCTGGGGAGACAAGAGGGGGTGGGAAGGGCATGGTGAGAGGCCAGGGCCAAGGGCGGCTTGGAAAGGTGCAACGAAGGAGGCGGGGGCAGAGAATGGCCGAGGCCACAGGGGTGGCCGCCCGGTTGAGAGCGAGGGGGAGCCCCTCTTCCCAGTCCCTTTAGGCGCCTGGGCTGGACAGAGTCCTGGCGCCCCCTGGTGGCGAGAGGGAGGGAGCGGCCGGAGACTGACCGAGGAGTCGGAAGATGAGGTGTAGTTCCTCCTTGACGGTGGAGCCGGGGAAGAGGGGCCTCCCCGTGGCCATCTCGTAGTGGATGCAGCCCACGCCCCTGCGGGGAGCAATGGGCAGGGTCGGCGTCAGGCTGGGCCTCCTCGCACCTGCCCTTCCTAGGGCTGCTCCACCAGGGCACCAAGGATGGCCTGCCTGCCACGGTGGCTCGAATGGTCATGGCTCTGGGGTGGGCGGCCCGGGACACTGGAGGCTGGCACAGCCCAATCCGCCACCGTGGCCTCTCTCTGGGGCTTCTCTCGGCTCTCCCCTCACGCTGTGGAGTTTGCGGCTGCACCCATGTGGCATCCTTAAGCAGTGCTGTCTCAAGCTTTGTCCACGTGTGCCCCCACCGGAAGAGGAAAGTCCATAAATCCACTCTCCTGGGGAACCCCTGGCACAGAGCACAGTGGCCATTCATCGGAAACCTGTGTTTTAGCTTTAAAACTGGGCTGATTTTTCATTCGACCCCAAATCATAGGCGTGTTAATTTTCCCACAAAAACAATATATCCTTTCCGAAATTTTCAGTAGAACCGATGCTTGGGGGAGATTCCTCACGTTTACTCTGGAAGGCCTCCCGTACCCTCTGGTCACCTCCTAGGGGGTCCCTGGGGGCATGTTTCAGAAGCATAGCCTTGGAGGGTCTGTTTAGAGCCAGGGGAACCCCGGGGTAGTCCAGACTTAGTTTTTCGTATCCAGCTACTTCAGCAGGATGTCACATGGCTTCTAGTCAAAGGTTAGGCAGTTCTTTGCAGAGGGACTTGAGGCCGCAAAAGGGAATGTGGGGGTGTGAATCCCCCCTCACCTTGGCCCCATGGCGCTCACTCACCACATATCGATGGGGGTGGAGTACTCTGTGGACCCCAACAGCACATCGGGGGGCCTGTACCACAGGGTCACCACCTCATTGGAGTAGGTCTTCGTGGGCACCGACTTGGCCCGCGCCAGGCCTGGGGACAGACATGTCACTGAATCTCCCTCCCCCACAGCCCCCGCCTCCCGAGGACACCGTGCCGGATCCCCCCTCGCCTTGCCAGGCCGTGGCCCTCACCAAAGTCAGCCAGCTTCAGCTCCCCCCTCTCGCTAATGAGCAGGTTCTGCGGTTTCAGGTCCCGGTGCAGGATCTTGCGGCGGTGGCAGTAGGCGAGGCCCCGGAGCAGCTGGAACATGAAAATCTGCGGGAGGAGGGGAAGCGGACGGTGAGTGAAGGACACAGCGTGTCCCACGGGGGAGACCCCACGTCTCTGCCCCACGGCTCGGATGGGGATGGGGCAGGGACGGAGGGGCAGCGAGGTGTCCGGAGAAGAGCAACCTCGTGTTCTACCCACGCGGCTCCCCATCCTGGGCTCCGTCCGTCTCAGGGGATCGCATCCGCAGAGGCGGGCATCAGGTGTGCTGGAGGCCAGAGAGTTCTCTGGCCTGGGAGCTGGGGGTGGGGGGGTGGGCACGAAGGGCCAGGAAGGGCCTGGGCGGGGAGGTGTGCCCTTGATTCTTTAACAATGACCAGAAGAGGTCACTCATCCTTTTATGCTTCTCCAGAAGTCTCCTTTTATCCATACACTCATTTGACGGATGGGAAAGTGGTGCTCGGAACTGGCGAGGGGATTCTATGTCAACAGCTAGATGGTGGTAGAGGGTGTGTGTCTGCACTGGTGGGGCAGAGAAGTGTGCTTACCCCGAATGGCAGTGACCTTGCACACCCTCATACATTTGAAATTTTTTTTTAACGTTCATTTATGTATTTTTTGAGAGAGAGAGACAGAACGTGACAGGGAGAGGGACAGAGAGAGGGAGACACAGAATCGGAAGCAGGCTCCAGGCTCCAAGCCGTCAGCACAGAGCCCGACGCGGGGCTCGAACCCATGGGCCATGAGATCATGACCTGAGCTGAAGTCGGACGCTCAACCGACTGAGCTACCCAGGCGCCCCAACCCTCATACACTTCAAGGTCTGAGCAACCTCAGCAGCTGGGCCCCTATTGGTGAGCGTGGGTTCCCACGCTGGGCTTGAAAACAGGTGGGTGCCAAGATAGGGTGTCGGAGGGGAGGCGGCCCTCCTTGAGGCCCTCACCTTGACATTGTGCATGCTCATGAGGTTTCCACAGTGGTCCAGATACTGCTTCAGGTCACTGTCCTGGAACACAGAGCCTGGCTCAGCCCTGACTTGTCCTGACCCCCGGCCGGAAGCCCCTCCCTGGGCAGAGCCCAAGGTCCGAGCTGTCCTTTAAGCCCCCCTGGCCCACTCCTGCATGGGAGCATGTGAGAACCTGGTTCTAGAACAAGGCCTGGGCTGCCCCCTCCCGCTGTCCCCACCCCTACCACAGAAAGAAGAAGCCGCTAGCCCCAGCCCAACTCACCAGGTACTCAAACACCAGGGTGAGAGACCGCTCCGTGTGGATGAGGTCATGCAGTGTCACAATATTGGCATGCTTTAGATTCTTCAGAAGAGACACTGTGGGGTGACAGGCCCACCTGGGTCCCTGGGGCCCCACAAACCCCTCATTCCCTCTCTTCCCGCGATCAGCCTCGGGAGCCCCCCCCCCCCCAGCAATGACCCTCTGTCCCCAAGCTCCCACTGGGGATCAGGTCAATGAAGCCCTCCTCCCAGGAGCCCCCAGGAGCGCAGGACCCTAGGACGTTGTACCCTCTCGGATGGCGGTGCAAGGTGCCCCCTCCTCATGCTCCAGCCGGATCTCCTTCAGGGCCACGAGGTTCTCTGTCAGTTTGCTGCGCCCCTTGAAGACTGTGGCATAGGTACCCTGGGGACAAGAACCCCAGCCACACCAGCCACACTCAGGGCCCACAGTCCTCTGTCCAGCACCCTCCCCCTCGTGCCTCCGCTTGGGCTGGGCCCTTCGTCCTTCTTCTCCTTTCACCGTTATTCTCTGTTTCCTCCGAGGGCCACCTCTCTATGACTTTCTCCCTCCCTCCTCCCTGTTCAGGATGCACTGTCCTCCCCCGAGGCCCCCAGTAGGCTAGGTGCCCTTCTATTCTAACACCAGTTTGCCCTTCCTCATGTCGACGTTTACAGGTCGGTCTCCTCTTTGGGTTCCGGGAGGGAGAGGGCTGTGTCTGTAGACCTCCGCCCACCCCAAGGCTCTGACACCAAGCGTGGTAACAGAAACTGCGGACGGCACCCAGTGCTTACCGTGTGCCGGGCACTAAGTGTGCACACGAGCTTATTATAGTAACCTGTTCCGGCCTCACAACCCTAGGCGGCAGAGCAATTGCATCTCCATTTCCAGAGGAAGGAACTAAGGCAGAGAGAGGTCATACGACTGGCCAAGGCAACAGAGCTAGCAAATGCTAGAGCAGGGATTTGAATCCAGAGAAGTACTTTCAGGCAAAAAAAAAAAAGGCTGGATTATGCCCAGAGCCCACGGGCCACTGTGTCCTCAATGTCCTCCAGGACCTGGGCCCCCTCAACACCTGCAAAAGGCTGGGTCAGACTGGCCGGCCAAAATGGTATGCCTCTGTGGGGCGGGGGCAGTGAGAAGGCAGGGAGGGCAAGGAAGATGCTGACCCTGCTCTTGAGCCTCCTGCCCGGTCTCTTACCTCCCCCAGTTTGTCCAGTTTCACGTATGTTTCCAGTTTCCCAAAGCCGATATCTGACTGAGAGGGAGAGACACAGGGTCCTGTGAGCTTCAAGGCCCCAGTAGCCCCACATACATGACACCCCCCCAACCAGCCTCCGGGAGGGAAGGGAATGAGACCCCCACTGGTGAGAGGGAAGAACAGAGGCTAGCGGGGATGAGGGCAGCCACAAATCCTGCCTCTTGGCCTCTCCCCTCTATCCCTGTGATAAAGGAAGGAGCCTTGGAAGTAAGAGTTCCCTCCTCCACTGGCAGTGGAGGGTGTGGAGCCAGGGCTGGGGCACATGGGACTGCCGCACACCTTCTCACTGTCTGCCTCCACCTTGCTCGGATGACCAGCTCCCCCTAGGCGGGAACTGTGCCTTTCAGGACCCAGTTCAGAACCCGCCTCCCCGGCAGCCTCTCTCATCAGCATACCTCCTCTAGCTCAGTGGTACCCGACCCTTAACGACAAGATTCCTTGACCCCACCACCCGGAGTCTAGTTCTGTAGGTATCTGGAGCAGGGACCAGAGTCCATGTTTTTTGCAAGATGCTCCCAAGGAAATCTGATAAGCGTCCGCAACTGGAAAGCACGGGCCAGCTGGTCTATGGATCTCACCCCAGTGGAGATCCTGGGGCCCAGAGAGGGCTGGGGGCTCAGCCCCAGGCCCGGCGGGACTCCTCTAGGGAAGGGATGTTGACCAAGTACAAGGTTTGTGAGTCTCCTGAGGCCAGCAGGTGGCGCTGGAGGCCCACAGACTACTGCAGGCCTCAGCTGGGACCCTCAAAACGAGGACTGATGTATCCAAGTTGGGGAGAGGATGGTCCACCCTGGTGACCTCTGACCCTTTTAGGACTCACCAGGGATGCTCGGCGGGACATGCGGCTGAGCGGTTTGGGCAGGTCTGGACTCTCCAGCTGTAGCTTCTGCAGGAATTCCTGGGGCAGGCGGATGTCCATGGGCAGAGAGAGCCTCTTACTGATGTCCTACGTGGCCGGGATGAGACAGGGACACTAGCATTTGCTCCAGGTTACCTCGTGCTGTGGGATCCTCGCCTTTCCCCCAGGGCCCGGCTTTCCTGTACAGCAATCCCAGCAGGGCCAAACCATGGACTGTGGCCCCAGGCTCACAGCTGCTTCAAAGATGTGCTCAGAGACATATGTGAACACACAGGGGTTGCTGTGTGACCTTAGGAGGTCCCTTCCTCTCTCTGGGCTGCAGTATAACCATCTACGGAATGAGGTTCCTACAGACGCTGTGATTCTGTAAGCCTGTTTTTCATTTACTCGGGCACATGCATACGGGTCACAAGAACAATAATCAAATTGTCCAGCCCTTGCCATGTACTGGGACTGTTCTATGCACTTGGTATATATTAACTTGCTTAATCTCCACGATGGCCATTTTGACACAAGGAGACTGGTATGCAGTGCTTGAGAAACTTGCTCAAGGTCGCAGAGCTGAATAGTGGCGGAGCTGGGATTTGAACCCATGAAGTCTGGCTCCCACGCAACCACCCTCCTTGGGCATACGTTGTAGACGCGTCTGTCACCTGCACAGGGCAGAGCCCTGGGCCCCTCACCTCCATGGAGAAGCGGCGCTGATTCTGCCGCCGGTACTGCATGCCCGGGGACAGCTGCCCAGGGTCCTCTCCGCTGTCTGTCGGGGAGAAGGTGCTGGACGCCGGCTGGGGGTCTCTGCCGAGAGGACTGAGCTGCAGGTCTGAGAGCAGAGGCATGAGTTGCCCACCCCGGCCCTCTGCCCCGGAGGGAGGGGAGGGGTGGGGAGGGGCGTCTGCTGCCCCACCTCTGTCCTTCCCCAGCAGTGAGGGCGTGGTCAGGACGGGCCAGGAGGGGCCGTGGGGGAGCATCAAGGATGGGGCGGGGGTGGGGGGGCAGACACCTCACCCTCATTGCGCCGGTTGTGGAGCTGGTTGAACTGCTCTGTGAACTCGGTCAAGGACTCCTCGATGGTCTCTGTGCGGGGCACGGATAAGGAAAGACGACGCTTAAAGTTCTTCATCTTGTTCATGGTCAGCAGGGACCAGGCAGCAGGGCCTAAGACGGGAGAGGGGAGAAGGGCAGGTGAGGACACGGCACTGGGTCCGTGCTGACACCAGATGTGAATTCTCGGTCTTGGTCTCTGTCTGCCCCTCGAGCTCTGGGGCCCTGCATCCAGAAGCTGGGGTTGCATCTTCTTAACCAAAGTTCGAGCCCCCAGAGGGGAGGACCTAGCAGCCCTCTTCCTCCCTGCGAATCTCGTTCCCCCAGGATCCCCTGCCCCCCGGGGGAGACGGTCACACCATGAATCAATCAGTATAGCAAAGTACTGCTCATAATAGCCGCACGATGTGCCAGCAGGACCCTGGGGGCCTCGCCGGGGCCAGATGGTAACCTTTTAGCTGCTGGAGGTCTAGAAGGTTCTCAAAAGAGGCCTCGAGTGGCAGCAAGGGGACCGGAACTCGGTGACGCTCAGGCCAAATGGCTCTTTACCAACTTGTATGTGAGAGCCTGAGTATGCGAACAGCCAGTAAGCCTTACTGATTGACGCCCACAAGCTGGACATCAGCTCTGCCTACAGCTTTGTGACAGAATCTGGCCCCAACTCCCATTTCATCGTGCTACTGACACCTGGAGGTCCCTCTCTGGCTTGTCCTAGGTCCCTGGGAGACAGGAGAAGAGAAGGGAGGGACAAGGGAGGGGACATATGCATCTGAGCGGGCCCGGCCCCATCTCTCCAGCTGGAGGGAGGTCAGGAGCAGCTGAAGGTCTCAGGGGAAACACAGAAGTTTGCCGGAAAAAGAGGGCCCCAGGGACAGGAGGCTGGGCCCGTCCCTCGGCAGAGCCCCGAGGGCGGCAGGGTGTCCACTGCAGAGAACACAATGGGGGAAGAGGGTGGGCTGCTAGGCTCACCCCCAAGGCCCCTGTCCCAACCAGAAAGGGTTCCCTCCTTGTGGCTCCCCAGCCCTCCTGCCCTCTGAGTGAGGGGACACCCCCAGCCACCCAGTAAGACTGCTTCTTCCTACAGACACTTTCTTCTCTATCCTGCCCTGAAAACCAGAGCAGGGCTGGCCCACCTCGCTTCCCCCAAATCACCCCCTCCCTGCTCTCCTCCATGATTTCATAAGCTCTCGGTGTGGCTGCCCTCATCCCGCTCTGCCCACACCTCCCTCAGCTGCAGGGGGACTGAGAGGCCTCACAAGGGCCCCACTGACGCCTGCCAAGAAGACACCCAGGGCCAGTCCTGTGATGGGAGGGGGGCACCCTGCACCCTCTCCCAGCTTTTACCCAAGCACCAGGCACAGCCCATCCCCAGGGGATGCTCTCCGCCCCGTCACTAGCCAGTACCCCGTTGCCAAGGCAACCAGACCCTTCCGGAATCCTCCCGGTTTAAGGGATTATGGGTCAGTAACATGTTTGCTTTGCTTAATGATCATCCTCTGTCCTCAGCCAGCCTGGAAAGGGTCCCTTCCCTGGGTCTGCTGGCTCCTGGCTGCCCCCAAATGCACCTGAGTCGTGGCCCTGCTCAGCAACCCTGAGCCCAGAGACTGGGGGTGGCCAGGCCCTCTTTCCTCAGGCCGGCAGGTCTCAGCGTAGAGGTCTCAGGTCTGCACTGCCTACCGAGCCCATCTCTGTCAGCGGGTCCTGGAGGCTCACTTAGTTCAGTGAGGACTGAGCAAATGAGGACTGAGCACCTACTGTGTCCAGGCATTGTGCTAAGGCACGGGGGTCACGATGGCGAGTAAAGTGCGGCCTGTGTTCTCAAGGAACTCGGGCTGGTGACACCTTTGATGAGAAGGTATCAGAAGCTCTTCTACCAGCTTCCTTGGCAAAGCCCAGCAGGCTTGGACTTTCCCGTTCTCCATCCCTAAGCTCATTCCTGCCAGCCAACCTCAGCTGCTCTTCCATGGCTCTTTGCCATCTCGGGCCTGCCTTCTGCTTTTTAAAAAAAAATTTTTTTTTTGATGTTTATTTACTTTTTTTGAGAGAGAGAGAGACAGAGACAGAGCGTGAGCAGGGAGGGGCAGGGAGACAGGGAGACACAGGATCCGAAGCAGGCTCCAGGCTCCGAGCTGTCAGCACAGAGCCCGACGCGGGGCTCAAACCCACGAACTGCGAGATCATGACCTGAGCCGAAGTCGGATGCTCAACTGACTGAGCCACCAAGGCGCCCCGACAAGACTAATTTTTAAAAATCAATGTCAAAAGCTCATTCTGATTAGTTTACAAAGAATAACATTAAGGACGGACCAATGTATTTTCTAATTACATACGTTCTATTAAAATCTGTCATCATAGAATAAACGCACAAAGGAATTTAGTCCGTTGAGGCAGAGCTAAACTCCGTATTTTAATCCAGATTCTTACACTTTCTAGGTTATCAACACATTAACACAAAACTATAGTGCAAAATTTTAAGGATCCGAACAAAGAATTTATCTTAGTTTTAAGGCAAGTCAGAAAAATTTTCAGTTGAGCAGCACAAGATTTATCAACCTTAATAAAGATTTAAGTAACACACATATGAAATACAACATAAAAAGACTACTTTTTCATGGCATTAACAGTTTTCTGTCAGTATGATGTCCTTAAGACACTTGCACAAAGTGGCAGAACTGGGCACACCATAATCATCATAAGTCCCCATCTATAAATTTAAAAACAAGCAGAGTTACTATTTGTGAGTCCCTCAGTGGAGTCCAATGACCACTCACTGATGGGTGTCTATCAGGAAAGGTTTTGGTTTTTTGTTTATTTATTTTTGAGACAGAGAGAGACAGCACAAGAGGGCAAAGGGCAGAGAGAGAGGGAGACACAGGATCCGAAGCAGGCTCCAGGCTCCGAGCTGTCAGCACAGAGCCCAACGCGGGGCTCGAACCCACGAAGCGTGAGATCATGACCTGAACCGAAGTCGATGCTCAACCGACGGAGCCCCCCGGGCACCCCTGGTGCCTTCTGTAGGACTCACAGACGGGAAGCTCCCAGAGGGCAGCCACCCCACTTCACGCTGTAGTGGCAGCCAGCTGAGGGCGAGGGGGTGTCCCGCGATAGAAGTTTTGTGATAGCGGCGGCATATGGGTTCCGGGGACAAGAAGATCTAGACGCGTCCTACCTGTGGCCTCCCATTCCCAAGCAGGACAGGAGAGCGGAGATGTCCCCACCGTACAGGTCCATTGTTTACCAAGCGGGCTGAACATTAGCAGCACCAAGGGAGTATTTTTAAAAACTCAGATTCCTGGGTCTCACCCTCAGAGTCTGGAACGGAGAATGGGGACTGGGAAAACGAATTTTTTTTTTTTTTTTTTTTTTTTAAAGAAGCATCCCCAGTGCTCTGGACACGGAGCCATGGTGAAAAGCATCCGATGTCCAGGTAAGGGATGGTAGTTCACCCCGGTTTCCAGCTTCTGTGCTGATGGGGAATCCTCAGAGCTGGGGAGGTGCAGGAGGGCAGAAGGAAGGCATGCCGAGTAAAGCAGCAGACCCCCCACCCCTCCCTGCCAACCACCACCGCACAGAAGGGAGAGGAATGTCTGCCCTGCAGACTGATGCCCCAGGCTTGGTCATCGTTATCCTAGGGCCTCGCGGCAGTGGAGGGGGGGCAGTCACTTGGCTCCTTGAGGTCTGAGCTCTGCCAAGAGGGACTAGTCACGCCCCCTCCTAAAAACAGGGCTCCCCCATAAAGCCGTCCTGCAGTCTGGGATTTATGGGATGGCATGCTGGGTTTGTGTTCAGGAATCCACCAGTAGCTGCCATAAATCTTATGCCCTTGCTCTTGTCTGTAGGGAAGGGGGGCTCATTAAAGGCCTTCGGGGAGGGAGGCCCCCAATTTCTGCAAGACTCGCACCTGCTCTTGCTCTCCCCTCACTTCAGTTAGGAGCCAGGAGCCACCGGCTTGGGTCTAGGGTGGGGTGGGAGCTGGAAGGAGGGTGAAGCAGAGGACGGCTTCTCAAGCAGGAATGCAGGGCCACACGATGCGGAGGGATGGGGACCGGCTGTTCTCCACCCACTCGGGACCCAGAGGAAGTGATTGTCACTGTAGCAGGAGGGATAGAGGGCAGATGTAAGGATGGACTTTCTGATGGTGACAGTGGAGCAGGCGGCAGGGGTGGTGGCCACAGCAGAGAGTGGACGTCTCTCTCTGCTGGGGACAATCGGGGCATTGAGCCGGACAGGGTCTTGGGTGTGACAGGGCAGACGGAGTGGTGAATGGTTAGTTGTTCCCCAGCTCAAGACATAAGATGCCTCTGTCGCTTTTCCCTTGAGAGAATCGGCTCTTCAGATTTGGGGGTCAAGGGGGAAGGGAGAGAGGAAAAAGCCCTGTCACCTTGGTGCTGTCTGCCCCTCACCCCCATCTGGGGACAGAAGGGCTCAGTGTGACCCAGCCTGCGGCCGGCCCAAGGCTGGGCACAGTGTGGCCTTTGTCCCTGGGCCAGGGAGCCATCTGGGGCTGCCTTCGTGCAACTGGTGCCAGGGGAGGAGGGGGATGGGCATGGGGGATGCTGGCCTGGCTGGGCTGTCGGGGGGGGGGGCATGTCGAAGCAGAAGGGCCCCCCTCAGGAACTGTGGGGTAGACCCTCCACAAGCAGATGCCCAACTAGGCCTTCCCTCCTGCACCCCCTGCCAGGGAAGCCTAAAGCTCTCAGCCTACCTGCTGTCACTTCCTCCCGGGCATACACCGGCCAGCCCGGAGCTTCCTGCTGGGGCCAGAGAAGCGGGCAGCACAGGAGGAACCGGCCGGGAGGAAACCGACACTTGCCCAGAGGCCACCATGCACCCAGTGATGAAGGGCTGAACTTCTGGAATGTCAGCCGCAGCACTTACAGATCCACCACTGCAACCCCCTTGCTGGCCCAGGCAGGGAGGACGCTGAGGCTCCAAGATGAGAGCTGACTTGCTCAAAATCATGCGGCAACTTCCTGGTCATTGCCGAGCGCACAGACTCCGTGACCACACGGCTCCTTGCTTCTCTTAAGGGGAGCTCTCCCCGCCCCACCCCTCCCTATGGACGAGGCTGTGAGTGCTGTTTCCTGTTCCGGGTCTCTCCCACCCCCGCCCCGAATTAAAAACCAAATTCAAATCCTGGTGTTACATTAGCAGGGCTGGATGGTGGCAGTGATGTTCTATGATCTCTCTTAGCTTTGGTTCTGGTCCTTCATTTGACAAGTATCTACTGAACGGCTACTACATGCCATGCCCTGTTGTAGACCCTGAGAATCCATTTATGAAGAAACAGACATAGTTCCTGCCCTCATGGTACTTATATTTTAATGGTGGGGAGCAGCAGACAAGCAAACAAATACATAAATGCACAGGATGTTAGATGGCGACAAGTGCAATGGAGGAAAACGAAGTAGCAAAGAAGGATGGGGTGTGGGGGGGTGGGGTGTTGCAACCTGAAACAGGGTGGTCAGGAAGGCCTCCATGGGGAAGCGACACCTCAGGAAGAATTCCAAGAAGGTGTAGGCGAGGGAGTTAGTCATGCCGAACCTGGGGGGGAGCAGATCAGTGCGGAACAGGAGGTGCAAAGGTCCTGAGGCAGAAGTGTTAGTGTGCTCTAGGAACAGCAGTGTGGTTGCAGAGGAGGCCATGGACGAGCACGGAGCAGATGGTGTTGGTCCCCACAGGGAACAGGAAGGTTCTGGCAGATGACTGACATGATCCCACTTAGATTTTAACAGGGTACCTCTGGCTGCTGTGTTGAGAACAGACCGTATGGGCAAGGAAGGAAGCGGGGAGCCTAGTCAGGAGGCTCCTGTAGAGATCCAGGTGACAGATGGTGGTGGCTGAGACCAGCGTGGGAGCAGTGGAAGTGGTTGGCTTCTGGATACATCTTGCAGGTGGAGCCAAAGGGATTTGTCCAGGGGGTGACAGAAGGGAGTCAAGCGGGACCCTCAAGGGCTCTGGCTGGAGCACATGGAAGGATGGGGTGGCCATCGGTGCAGGTGAGCAAAGCTGGGATGGAGGTTTTGGAGGGAAGCCCAGGAACTGGGTTTGGGGCAAGTGTTGATGTCCAGTGGGCACCTGTGTGCAGGCACGGAGCACCCGGACACGGTGCAGCCCGCACAAGGAAGACACTTGTCTAGTCTTCTCTCAAGCCCCTGCTAAGATGCAAGGATGTGCCGGAAGAGAGGCCCCAGATCAAGCTCATCAGACACGTCCCTCGCACACCTCTTTACAGCCTGTGAAGGGCTCTGAGACCCCGGATGGAAGAGGGGCAGGAGGCAGGAGCCCGCCAGCTATCTGCAGGCCTGAATCCCCTGACAAAGAGGGACAGGCCAGGCAGGAAGGGTCCCCCCCCTCCCCCCACCCCTGCTCAGACTGATACAACTCTCCAAAGCCATGCAGGGCAGAGGACCCTGGTCCTCAGAGGGGAGAAAGCTCCCCACAGCAGGCCAGGCCGGTCCACAGGCCCTTTGCACAGGTAGTCCAGACACAGCCTTCTGCCCCCGACCCCAGGACAGCCTCTCCCAGCCCCTCCCGCCTACCACCTGCCGGGCCCTTACCGGGAAGCTATGGAGGCAGAGAAGGAGGTTGGCAGAGCATCCAGGGAAGCTGGGTAGGAACGTCCATCTCACGGAAGTGAGACTAACGTGGAAGGCAGGGGTCAGCTCCATCCCTTAACCTCCAGGGAGCCAGGCTTTGAGATCCCTCTCAGCAAACCCTTCCGAGAAGCCCTTTGCCTTCTCCCTAAATAAAGCTCCCATCTGCAGCCTGCACCCAAGGTCCTTCGATCCAGCCCCCTTGTTCCCCGGCTTTGCTCTCCCCGCTCCCCACAACCCTAGCTCGGCTCCAGCACCTGTACCCCCTGCACACATTCAGGCCTGGGGTCTTCCAAGGCTTCCCCGAACCCCTAGGGCCACCGGGCGGCCCTGTGATGGACACAGTCCGAGAACGCGCATAATCTCCCAGGGCCACAGTGAGGACTTTTCAAGTGCCTCTCCCACAAGGGTGCTCTGCTCTCTCTGCCCGGTGCCGGTGACATACAGCAGACAGGCACGTGGTGAGCACCTACTGGGTTCCAGGAACAAGTCAGATGCTTCTCCCAGCCCCTCTTCTGGTTTCGTCCCGTTTGCTTTTCTTTTTTAGATCCCTGTCTCCGTGGTCCCCGGGGCAGGGCTCCAAGGACAGAACTCCCAACTGCCCACTTTCTGGAGCCCAGAGGGTCTGAGCCTCAGTCTCAAAGGCTGCCCACTGGCCAGGATCCTCAGGGCACCCTCTGCTGCTCGCTCCCTGCCCCCAATCCCGGTCACTCTGCCGCTTTGGGCGGGTTTCAAAAGAACAAGAGGCTACGGCCGAGCAAGTTTGCAGCCGTCATGAGCTGGGACTTCAGAGACATGCCCTGTTCCCAGTGAGAAGCGTGCCTCAGGGAGCCCTGCAGATATTACCTGTTCTGCCCTCCTCTGGCTGCCCCGGGCCTGCACAGCGTGGGGCTTCGGTTTTTCTCCAGCTTGTGACAAACCTCAGGCCCGCCAGTCACCCCACAGCTGCCTGGAGTTGCTGCCACAGCAGAAGCCCCGGAGCCCCCATCATGGACCTCACCCCCGCCCCAGCTCCGGCCTGGATGGGAGGCTGGGAGCCTGGCGCGTTCTGGGTGGCCAGCCTCGAGGAGGACAGATAGGCCCACAGCCGCCCTGCCAGTGAACAGACGCTGCCCGCAGCCTCTGTTTGGAATGCAGGAAGCAGGCGGGGAAGGCCTTCCGGGAACCAGCCGAGCTGACCCGCAGGAAGCATGGTCAGGAGGTAAAGTGTCTGGGGCTCAGGGGGGCCTCTGCTCTCTGGACAGATGCACCATTTACCCCTGCAGGGTCCCACCTGATGGAAGTGTCCTAGAGTGAGGGCCACATGCTGTCCAGGCCTGCTCTCCGAAATTCTCTGCCGCTCGGGAGTATGGAAGAAACCCCAGCTCTCCCACTTACCAGCACCGTGACCTGGGAAGACCCCCCCCCATGCTTCAGTTTCCTTGTCTGCTAAGTGGAGAGAATACCTAATCCCCGATCCAACTGCCAAGAAGCTGCCAGACTTAACTTTCTTGGCTACTTTCTGACAATATCACTCTCCTCTTTAAAATCCTTCAAAATAACATTGCCCTCAGACAAAAGTCCAAACTCCAGGGCCCAGCCAACTAGGCCTCTTGTGTTTTGATCTGTCTCCTTCTGGAGTCTCGGCTCTCACCCCTCCCTGGAGGGTTATGGAGTTAACCTCCCATATGGAGGGTTGGTAAGACTGCTTCTAAACTCCAGTGTTGCTTTCCCTGGAAAGTCACATGTGACCGCACCTCCTTCCTTTAGGTAAAATGGGATGCTTCCTCCTTGTTGCTCCCATTCCAGCCTGTGAACATCTGTCCCTAGACTGTGATGTCCTTCGGGACAAGAGCAGGGGCTCTGTGAGCTGTTTTCCCAGCATCTTACACAGGGTAAGGAACCTACAAGGTGCTCAGTCCGTGTTCATGGAGTGAATGAGACCATCGGGCCACTGCACCCCAATGGCCTGTTTCAAGCTCTTCCCTCTGCAGCTATGATGGGGACGAGGCCCATTGTCCTCTCTCCACCCCCCCAAGGTCCCCTTGAACCTCCAGGGTGCTCTCTCTGTGTGAGGCATATGTGATTCTCTTCCTACATCCAGCCCAGCCAAGGCCCTGATTCTAAGTGGTTCTTCTCATCAGGCCAGCTCTACTCTAAGCAGGTAGGCTTCCAGCACAATGGGGGTGAGCCTGGCCCTGCCCTCCTTCCGGGCACACCAGAGCGAGCCCTGCGGCTCAGTCAACCAGCCCTAGTCCCCCGGGACGTCGCTCTTCCTTGGTTCTCCTGACTCTCAGTGGGAACTGGAACACGGGCAGGACTGGTGGGCTGGGACTAGGGAAAGCCGGGGAAACGCTCCCATCTTCAAGGCCTGACGGAGGCGCAGACTCTTCCACGAGGCCCTCTGCGACGGTCCTCCCTTCTCCTCCAACCGGAAAGCCCACTGGCCCCAGCCTGCGGCATGCCAGCCGTCCCCAAGCAGAGCACTTGGCACCCTGTACTGTTCCTGTTCACCTGTCTGCTTCTCCAGTTTGCCTGTGAGTTGTTAGGGCAAGGACTGGGTCTGACTCGTCATTACACCCCCAGGGCCTGGCACTGAGCGAGCCCTCAAACGATCAGTGAGGGAGTACCTGGAAGGTGTGAGTTCTGAGTTCTAGGGGCTGTTCAGAGACAAGAGAACAGCCAGGAACAGCCAGGAGACTGTCCGTTGCTCACTGGCCTCGAGGCCTCAGCTGTAACCGAACCTTCCTTCTCTAGCCCTCCACTGATGGCAGTGGTGGGGGCCAGGGGGCCACTGAGGCATGGGGGGAAGCTGCCTGCCCCACGACAACTCCCTCAGTGAGGTCTGCAGAGGTCTCTACTTGGGCTGATGACCCACCATGATGGCTAGACTGGTGATGGAGAAAGTCCTAAGGGGGGCGGGGGGGGGTTCCAACAAAACACCATCCATTGGGGCCTACAGGGCTTGTGGGGAAGGGGGGATGACAGGGCCTGGACCCTCCTCATGGGTTCCCATCCCTCAGGGGCAGACTCCCAGTGCCTCACAGGTCAGGTGCATTATCCGGGATCAGACCTTGACCTTGACCCCTCCTGACCCCCTGACTGCCCACTTCTAGCCCCTCTGTGTGGGCCCCACACCAACCCTGCTGATATTCACTCTCTGTTGCTCTCTTTGGCTTCTTACGGTTCAAGGAATGGAGGCTCATGTATCATCTTCTCGTATTTTCTTTTTGACCCTTTTTGAGACCCAGCTAAGTCTAATCTGCAATCTTTAGGGAGGCTCTGAATTTGCAAGTGATACGATGGGGACAAGGTGCCCTTCCGCCAGTTCTAGTCCTGGCAGAACATCCCAGACCAGAGGCTACAGCAAGGGGCAGTGTAAGCAAGACCTGTCCCCACATTGTCCTGCTTTGAGACCGGGCCCGCCTCCCCTGCCAGGGGAGAAGCCCGCTCCTTTCAGCAGGCTCCATTAAAGACCCTCAAGGATGGGGTGCCTGGGTGGCTCAGTCAGTTGAGCATCCAACTTCGGCTCAGGTCATGACCTCACGGTTTGTGGGTTCGAGCCCTGCGTCGGGCTCTGTGCTGACAGCTCGGAGCCTGGAGCCTGCTTCTGATTCTGTGTCTCCCTCTCTCTCTGCCCCTCCCCTGCTCATGCTCCATCTCTCAAAAATAAATAAATGTAAATAAAATAAAATAAAGACCCTTAAGGAAGGTCCCTCAGCCACCTAGCCCAGCATTTTCATTTTTTTGTTGTTTTTGTTTTGTTTTTTAGATTTAATTTTTAAGCAATCTCTATACTCAACATGGGGCTTGAACACACAACCCTGAGATCGAGAGTTGCATGCTCCACTGACTGGGCCAGGCGACCCCAGTCTAGTGTTTTCAAAATCCCAAGGTCTGGAACCTTTTCTTCAGTCCCAAAGGAAACAGCTCACACCTGTGTCCTCTGCATTTGCTGAAGTTTAGAGGCCGGTGCCCACCACCTTCCACACGATAAAAAGGAGGAGAAATAAGGCCTATCAAGTTCACCCACCCTGTCCCTCATCCACGGAAGAAGCCCAGCTTTCATGGTGGTCTGTCACGGGATCTTTGTTAACATCAAGCGCTGGCATCCCTGGGGACCTCTCAGTCTCAGGAGCAGGGAGGGCAGGAGGGGAGGCTTTCCCAGCATCTCTCGACTCTGTTCCTATTTATATTCCACTCCCAGTCGC